GTGGCACAACCCCTCGCTGAAAGGAGTATTTGTGGGGGCAAGGGGACGGACTTCTGGTGGCAAAGGTCAGAGGTCTAGGAAGCAAGACTGGTGAGGAAGGGCTGGAAGAACTGGGATGATTTAGTCTGGAGAAGAGAAGACTGATGGGGGGAAGGGGGTTTCATAGTTTCATAGTTTCTAGGGTCAGAAGGGACCTGAGCAGATCATCGAGTCCGACCCCCTGCCATGGCAGGAAAGAGTACTGGGGTTAAACGACCCCAGCAAGGTGTACATCTAACCTCCTCTTAAAAACCCCCAGGGTAGGAGCCTGCACCACTTCTCTTGGAAGTTGGTTCCAGACCCTAGCCGCCCTGACCGTGAAGTAGCGCCTCCTGATATCTAACCTAAACCTACCCTCTGCCAGCTTGTGACCGTTATTCCTGGTCACTCCTGGCGGTGCTCGGGGGAACAGTGACTCCCCCAATGCCTGCTGATCCCCCCTGACTAGTTTATAACAGGCCACAAGATCCCCCCTCAGCCTTCTCTTTTGGAGGCTGAACAGGTTCAGGTCCCGTAGCCTCTCCTCATAGGGCCTGCCCTGCTGTCCCCTGATCATGCGAGTGGCCCTCCTCTGGACCCTCTCCATGCTGTCCACATCCCTCTTGAAGTGCGGCGCCCAGAACTGGACGCAGTACTCCAACTGCGGCCTGACCAGTGCCGCATAGAGGGGGAGGATCACCTCTTTGGACCTGCTCGAGATGCATCTGTGGATGCATGACAAGGTGCGGTTGGCCTTCCTGACTGCCTCCCCACACTGCCGGCCCATGTTCATCTTGGAGTCAATGATGACTCCAAGATCCTTTTCCGCCTCCGTGCTGACAAGAGGGGAGTTCCCTAACCTGTAGGTATGGTGCCGGTTGTTCCTCCCCAGGTGCATCACCTTGCACTTGTCTGTGTTGAAACCCATCCTATTCTCATCCGCCCACCCCTGTAACCTCTCTAGGTCAGATTGTAGCCTGTTGCTTCCTTCTAGTGTGCCCACGTCCCCCCACATCTTAGTGCCATCAGCAAATTTGAACAGGGTGCTTTTTACCCCCTCGTCCAAATCACTGATGAAGACGTTGAACAGCGCGGGCCCGAGGACCGAGCCCTGGGGGACCCCACTGCCCACATCCTTCCAGGTTGAGAAGGACCCATCCACTACCACCCTCTAGGTGCGGCCCTCCAGCCAGTTGGCGACCCATTTGACTGTGTGGGTGTCTACGCCACAGCCCCCCAGTTTCTTAAGGAGATTTGGCAGTGGAACAGGCTGCCCTGAGCAGATGGGGCATTCCCATCCTCTCAGGTGTTTAAGATGGCTTCAACCGGGAGCCTCCTGCCAGCCTGAATTTTCTCAAACTTTTTCCTTTAATTCTGTCATGGGCAGAACAGATAGCAAAGGGGGGCAGGGGGGAGTGCTGATACCCCAGTACCAGGTGCATTGCAGATGTGGAAGAGAGATTACCACTTCCCCTGGTGCTCACTGCCCCCTCTCCCCCCAGCCCCTGACATCTAGGAAGGAGAAGGCGGCACGGGACACGTTGCACAGGAGCACAGTTCGAGAGCAGCCAGTTCTGTGCCAGGCTCCGCGTACAGCGGATCAGCAGCACCCTCTGCAGGCCCAGCTGGAGACTGCCAGCACCAGAAGGCTGCCCACACCTCTGCCAATCTCAAAGGCTGGTGCAGCTGCTCCTTTTCTCCCCTCCACCTGGGCATCCCCGAGAAATGCCCTGAGGTCCTTGGTGCTATTCTCACAGGCAAATTGGTAGCCATGTCTGAGTGCAAATGGCTCAGAGGCCATGCTGAAAGTCCCTTCTGTCCTTACTGCCCATAAAACCTGCCCCATCTCAGGCTCTCTACCCCATTCACTGCCTGGTTGCAGAAGTCCTAATGCACCCGTGCCCACAACCTGCTGCATCCAGGCCCCACGGCCTGGAGTTTGATGGTGGCACTCACCTGCCACCCAGCCTGCTCCCTGCTATGGACTGGAGATGAAGCTGAGAGGTCCAGAGTCTGGGCCCGTAGGTGTCTGGATTGGGTCCCAGCCCCATAACCTGCTGGTAAGGGCAAAGTGGAGCATGGGAGTGGAGGAATCTCCTCTCCAGGCTGCTCAGCTACAAAACCAGTGGCTTTCAAACTAGTTTCTTTCCCCACCCTCACTCCCAAGGCCCTGGGACAGCCCCTCCAACATGTCTCTCTCCAGAAAGCAGGAAGAGTTTGGCACAGGGGTGATACAGATGAAGAAACCAAGCTACAGCTTCTCCATGGGGATCACCTTAAAAAAACTCATCCTTGGAGGTTTTTAAGACTCGACTAGACATAGCGTTTGCTGGGATGATCTAGTTGGAGTTGGTCCTACTTTGACCAGGGGGTTGGACTAGATGTGACCTCCTGAGGTCCCTTCCAACCCTCATTTTCTAGGATCCTATCACCCAGTCCTCAATCAATCAGAAGAGATTCAGCAAGGACAAATGCAAAGTCCTGCACTTGGGACAGAATAACCACGTGCACAAATACGGGCTGGGGAACGACTTGCTAGGCTACAGTACTGCAGAGAAGGTCCAGGGGAGGGGAGTTGTAGGTGACCATAAGCTGAATATGGGCCAACCGTGTGCTCTTGTTGCAAAAAAAAAACCAACAGCAAACTGGCTTGTATTAACAAAAGTGTCACTTCCAAATGAAGAGAAGTGATTCTTCTGCTCTATTCAGCACTGGTGAGGAATCACCTGGAGTCTGGTGTCCAGGGTTGGGTCTCACACATGGATAGATTGGAAGGGGTCCACTGCAGAGCAACAAAAATGACTGGTGGCCTGGTGGGAGGCAAGACTGATAACAGAAGTCTCAAAGAACCAGGATTTTTTTAGCCTACAGAAGACTGAGGGGGGATTCGATAAAAGTCTCCAGATACCTGAAGGGCAATAAAAGAACAAACAGAGATGGCCTTTTTTTTTCTGCAGCCATATGGGAGGGGGCTAGGAGCAATGGCCTCAAGCTGCTGCAAGGGAAATTTAGGTTGGAGATGAGGAGGAACTTTCTGACTCCGAGGGTGGTCAAGCACTGGAACAGGCTGCCTAGAGAAGCTGTGGCTTCTCCATCCCTGGAAATCTTCAAGTGCAGGTGGAACAGACACTTGGCTGGGATGGTTTAGTCAGGGCTGATCCTGCTTTGAGCAAGGGGCTAGACTGTATGACTTCATGGGGAGCCTACCAATCCTACTTCCCTATGATCCAGACAGCACAGGAGCTGCACCACAAGGGCAAGAGACAGGGCTGCTGGTGCCAACATGAACAGCAGCAATAACCTTGGCAAGGCAATGAGGATAAACAAAGGACAGAGCAGATCTGAGCAGGAATTAGCCTGAGCAGGAACAAAATGAGAGATGTGGAGCTAGCAATGTGCACAGCCCTTCACAGCACCTCTCCCGCCACGAGGAGCTCAGATCTGAGAGAAGCAAGGATGGGCCCCAGATGGCTCCAGGGAGCAAAGGCACAAGACGAGTCTGAGACAGGTGAGAAGAAGTACAAGGGTGAACATGGAAGTGTCTGGCCAACAGGAAGCAGGAGACTGCTCCTATGCCAAGGCAGAGCCTGGCTGAGGCAGGGAGGGGAGGGGGGAGATAGAGAGATGGAGAGAATGAGGCAGGGGGCAAGAGGAGCAGCAGAGGGTGCACAGGGTGAGGGCAGCATCCCCGCAAAAGGGAAGAGGATGAGTCGAGACTGCCTGTGAGCAGAGATGGAGCCAGTGGGCAGCTTGGAGGACACAGCTGAAAAGGAAGAGGCCTCTAGCTCCTGGATCTGGGATCAGGGACAAACCGCTGGAAGTGGAAAGGCTTCCCAGGGAGTCACTGTTTCACTCAACACTAAGCAGCCCCTGCTTCAGCTTCCACTTAGCCAGGGGTAGCAGCGGGCATGTGGACAGTTACCGCGCATCAGCTGCTTCAGGGTCAGTTACTCAGAGGGGAAGAGGAGGCTGCAGTAACTAGAGCAAGGTGACCTTGTCACAGAAGGCCCCGGGCATTCGCTGTGCTGGCTCAGGTGTCCTTTCCTAGACCTTTCCAGCCTTGTTGTCCACATCTCCCAAAACTGAACGCCGCCCCGCCCCCCCCCCGCACAGCTTTCACAAACCCCAGCCCCTGCACCAGAGAGACCATACCTCCCGCCTGGTTTTGATCACCGACTCCAGCACGGCTCCCGTGTAGCAGATGGAGGATTCAGGAATACCTGCGTGCCTGACAGTGGGACAAAGCAGGAAGGGAGTCAGACAGTAAATGTCCCCCTCACCCCTCCTGGATCTAGCCCCCAGCTCCAAGCCAGGCCCAGCTGGAGCCCGACAGACTTAGCAGGGATCTGGAAGCACCAGACATGACTTTTACAGGGCCCAAAGCCAAACACACACACACCTGCGGGTCCTGCCACAACCCACTTCACACAGACCGGGCAAGACCTAGGGTCTGACCCAGTACATGGCAGCTATTATGTTATGTTCTCAGGACACACAGCTTCACCCAGCTCCTCCCGCCCTGAGCCCAGAGCCATGCAAGTGCCTTCCAGAGCAGAGGTGGCCTAGATCTGAGAAAGCTTCACACCTACCAGCACTGCAGAGCTGACCCAAGCTACAGCAAACCGAGGAGCCAGCTGGGTTCAATCCTCAGCCTGACAGCCCCCATAAGTATTACAGCTCCTGGCATGGGCACCAGGTAGCTCACAGATGGCTCCAGGAGCTACTCACAGCTGCAGCAGATGCCTGACGATGTGCTCGGGAATGAGGCGCTTCTGGGCCAGGGTGTCGGCCTGCCACACCACCGCCTCGCAGATAGCCCCGTCCTGGAACCGCCTCAGCTCTGACTTCTCCCCCCAAAACTTCCGGAAGTCAGCCGCCTGCAGGGAGGTGACATGGGGAGCATCAGAGCCAGCACACAGCAAATCAAAGGGAATCCACGCTCACAGCCACTGCCTTCCTCTGCTGGGTGCAATGAATTGGGTGGGTCTCCACAAGCCTGCCGCAGAGAACAGACTCTCCCAGACCAAAAAATGCCCCTTCAGCACCTTTGCCAACGAGCCTGGTGATGCCCTCAAGGCTGAACTCCCCTCACCAGGAGGAGGAAACCCAGCTGAGGCAAGGTGCAGGGCCCCTGGCAGGACTGAGAGCACGTAGCACCAGTCCTGGGGAACTGCTGATAGCTACAGCCTCAGAGAGGAGTCCGGGACCCTCTGGGGTCAGGAGCTCCCATGGGCAATACAGAGAAAGCTCCTTTGGGAGAGGCCACAGGATCTAGTCCAAAGTTGCTGCAGCCCACTGGGCTATATGGAGCAGTGCAGAAGACTTGCTCTGAGCCCCCAGACCCACCACAACCCTCCCTGTCACCCTGAGTGCTAGAGGCAGGTCAAACCCTGATTAGCACCCAGACCGGGGGAAAACCCAGGCTCCCTGCCCCAGCTCTGTGCCCTCTCACCTTTCTGTGGCAGGCCATTCAGTCACATCACGCCCTCTTCATCTCCGTTCACCACTAGTCATGCCAAACCCTGCTCCTCCTACCTTGATCCCACTCATGTGGCGCAACGGTGCCCACCCTCCCGTCTGCCTTTCCACCGATGCCAGATACCTTCCCCTGAAGCCCCCTCAGACCAGCCCCAAAGCCCCCCTCCCACTGGTCTCCTTCAAAGCCATTTTCCCCTCCCTTGGCCAGGAGGCCTATAAGACAGTTCTCAATAGGACCCTCATGGGGGTCCCCAGGTGCTGCCACAATAGGACTGCAGGATAGGGAGCCGCCCCACACTCACCTCCGGCCGGTCTGCCTCGGGGCCTCTCTCCAAGATGCTTGCAGCGAACTCTGGGGCAAGCAGGAGGCCGAATGACAGATGCCCGATGTCCTTGTGTTTTGGGGGGTCAGCATTGATTGGCCACTGGAGAGACACAGGGATAAGGCATCAGTGGAAGTGACCCTGCTGTCTATGCACCTGCCTGTGGAGCATGAGATGCA